GGCGTGGAAGAAAATACAGATCCCAGCCTTTGCAAATGAGACCTGTCCAGATTTCTGAGGGGAGTCCAATCTTTGAACTGAGATGATGTGTCCAGAAGGAAACCCACTAGGATGGGCACTGGACACATCCAGCTGGTAGCAAGTTACACGTGTCAAAGGTGAGAAGCTGAGTCTGTTCCTTCCTGGGAACAAGGCTGTCCGACTAGTGTTCAGGGTTATGCACATGTGTGTGTTGGGTGGAGGCAGAGCTGTGTCTATAGCCATAGATGAACCCAGTTTTTTCCCTTGGTATCCAGTTTTGTGGGAAAAGGACAGAACTGGCCCTGATATAATTGCGGCCCTGTCCTGATGTACAGTGGTCCCCAGTGTCCTTGACATACCTCTTCTACACCTTAAAAGCATCCATCAGCTCTTAGTTTATGACATTACATCACTTCCTTCTGAAATGCCTATCCGGAATTCTCTTTAACTGTGTTCCTGGCAGACGCAGGGAGTAAGGCAGACTGATTCTGCCTCTACCACACATGAAACAAAGAAGGAAATCCTGCACTATCTCTAAGAGACAGGCAGTTGCTGTAGAGCATGAGGCTGCAGTGTCATTTTTTCAATTGTTTCCTGGGTCAGTCAGGAAAAATTGGTAAGGATGCCACACTTAGCATTTGAAAAGGAGCTGAAAGGTTTTGATGCAACAGAGTAGATTCTGGATCAAGATTTGTGTAGAAGACAGAATGAGAGACATAACCATGGCATTGCCAGTCAGAGGATGCCACAAAATAATATCTTCTGAGCAGTGCTGGTAGCTGTTGTGTGGATATAGTTGTGAATATTTGTGATCTGTGTGTGGCAAGGAGGTGACAATTAGATTGGTGCTCTTGTGTACACTTGATTATCTGAATTTCCTCATGTCTTTCAGGATTCCTTGCTATGTGACTTGGGCTGTGGGTGTTGTTTAACAGTCATGGATATTGGATGCATGTCACATTGAGCCCCCAAATGAAGGGTACTCAGAAGAGATCAAACCAACTCTTCAAAAACTAGCGGACCTCCAACAATATACTCTGTTATTTACTTAGCAGACAGCTGGGGATACCTATAAATATGTGGATCTGTCCCAGTGGGTGCTGGTGCTAACATTAGAAACCCCAGGGTACACTTGGCCTTGGCCACAGGCATGTGATTATGTCTTGCTGCACTAAACTTTTCCATGTTTCATGTGATGTGTTTTTACTGACCACCTCATTGGGATCTACAGGACGGAGGATTCCCTCCACTCTATCATCCAATGCAGGAACTCCCAATCCGGGGGGGGGAGGGGATGGCTGTGAGATCACACTGCTCATCAGACTTCTTCCACTACTTATGTGAGGAAGAATGCATAGGCACAACTAGGTCATACAAGTACATAAGATGCTTCTGACTATTCATTTTGGGAGACGCCCATGGGTACCCTATCCAAGCTCAATGCTTGTTTTGGGAGACCGACACTCCTGAAGACAAGAGCTAGGGTGGGGGTTTTGGGCATTGTGTATTATTGCAGATGTCATGCCCATGTCATTTCCGCAGAGGAAATGATTGTGTTCATTTTTTAAAGATTTACTTATTGGGGCCGGAGCTGTGGCACAGCGGGTTAAAGCCCCAGCCCGCAGCGCTGGCATCCCATATGGATGCTGGTTCAAGTCCCAGCTGTTCCCTTTCCAATCCAGCTTTCTGCTATAGCCTGGAAAAGCAGTGGAAGATGGCCCAAGTCCTTGGGCCCCTGTACCCATGTGGGAGACTCAGAAGAAGCTCCTGGCTCCTGGCTTTGTATGAGCTCAGCTCTGGCCATTGCGGTCATTTGGGGAGTGAACCAACGAAATGGAAAATCTCTCTCTCTCTCTCTCTCTCTCTCTCTGGCTCTACCTCTCTCTCTGTAACTATTTCATATAAATAAAAGAGAAATCTAAAAAAAGATTTATTTATTTTATCTGAAAGGCAGAATTGCAGAGAGGCAGAGGGAGAGGCAGATGGAGAGAGAGAAAGAGAGAGAGAGAGAGAGAGAATCTTCCATCCACTGGTTTATTCCCAAAATTGCCCCAAAGGCAGGAGCTGGGCCTATGCAAAGCCAGGAGCCAGGAGCTTCATCATCCAGGCCTCCCACATGTGTGCAGAGGCTCAAGCACTTGAATCATCCTCCTTTGCTTTTCCAGACATGTTATCAGGGAGCTAGGTTGGAAGTGGAGATGCTGGGACTTGAATTGGTGCCCATATGGGATGCTGGTGCTGCAGGCATTGGCTTTAACCAGTATGCCCCAGCTCTGGCCCCGTGATCATGTTCTTTGTCCACACAGAAGTGGAGCCATAAAGTCAGGGACTTCTACCATGAGAAAAAAGCCTATTGGTGCCACAGCTAACTGGAGTAAAGACCACATTGAAGTCAAGACCCAAGTCAGCAGGATTGGAGAGACAGTGACCAATTAACAAGCTTCATCCCATAGGGAGGTGCTGAGCAGGGAAGATTCCACTCTGAGATGTGTGAAATGGGAAGCACACAGTGAGTTGAGAATTGTAAGGAGGGAGAGCCATAGCTGAAGGGAGGGAAGAGGTAGCAGTGGACATGGACAAGTCTCATCTGGACTTAGGTGCAATGGACGTGAGATTACCCCCTGCAAGTCCTGCCTTGTCTGTGACAGGCTCAATGACGCTTAGGTTCCCTGCTCTTTCATGCCTGTCCTTCCCTGTTTTGTTTTCTCACACCTGAGCTGCAGCAGCTTAGGGAAGAATCAATTTCCTTTATGCTTTAACACAGCAAATCCAGAATCTATTTGTCTTCACAGGGCAGATCCAGTTGTGGTGCACTTTAAACATTTTGCCTGGGAATATGTCAGTTCCTAGTCTCTGCCATAATTTTGAAGACAAGGTCCTTCATCAACTCACCTTCACTGGGGCACCACACAAGATAACCTCATTCGGAGAAGAACCCTAGGAGCAGGAATTAGAGGGCTGGCTTAGCAATGTGATTTGCACAGGTAGGAAAGAAAGGGTAAGAAGGGAGCTGCCTCCCAGATTCTGGGGTTGAAGTGCTCTGAGCTGGTGTTTGCACATGTGCTGATGTTGGATGTTTGTCAGCTCAGGAGAAAGGAATAAGACCCTGACCATGAGCAGGGCTTGTAAAATACAGCCCTAGGCCTGATTTTGGCCTTTTGCTTATTTTACTCTAAACAGCTTTGAGACATAACTCACACAACACGTCATTCTTCAGTTCAGAGTGTACAATGTGCTTTTCACATAGCCAAGGCATTATGTAATCTTCTTCCACAGTCTAATTTCACAGCATTTTGATCCTCCCTAAAACACCCCAGTACAGTTGGTTGTCTTTCTCTGTCCCTGCTGCTGGTGTGGAAGTAAGTTCCACGGTGTAAGAATTGTGCAACATCTGTTTTTGGTGACTGCTTTCATTTCACCGTGTCCATGTTATATTGTTACCATACAAACTACTTGACCTCTCCCATGACCCATATCAGCATGATAGCCTCCATGTATTATGCCTGTCTCCAGAGTAAAAGAGAGAGTAATTACTTTATGTAGCCACATGTTCTCATATCCTTTTCTTTGTCGTGTTTTCAGTTTATATAGAAGTTTTGAAATAAGTCATTTTCATGAGTTTCAGACTCAGTGATGTGTATGGTATCCCCTACTGGCAGAACTGAAAAAAACAGGTCTTTTACCCCCTCTTTTAAAAATTTTTTTTTAAGATTTATTTACTTGAAAGGCAGAGAGAGAGGGAGGAGAGGAGAGGCACAGAGAGAGAGAGAGAGAGAGAGAGGTCTTCCATCTGCTGGTTCACTCCCCAAATGGCTGCAACGGCCGGAGCTGGGCCAATCCAAAGCCAGGAGCCAGGAGCTTCTTCCAGGTCTTTCGCACTTTCCCAGGCCACAGCAGAGAGCTGGATTAGAAGTGGAGCAGGTGGGACTCAAACTGGCACCCATAAGGGATGCCAGCACCACAGGTGGCAGGCAGCTTTACCTGCTACGCCACAGCATCGGCACCCAACACACTCCAAATATATATATTTCTTACTTGAGAGAGAGAGAGAGAGAGAGAGAGAGAGAGAGATATTCTCAACTGGTTCATTCTCCTAATGACCAAAATAGCCCTGGCTATTTCAGGACAAAATCAGGAGCCAAGAACAACATCTGGATCTCCCACATGAGTAGCAGGTACCCAAGAAGTTGAGCCATCATCTGCTTCCTGCTAGTGTGCACACTAATAGCATTCTGAAATCTGAAGCCAAGCCAGGCCTGCTGCCCAGGTGCATTATTCCATGTCATTCACTATAAAAAATCTTACAGAGATAGCTGACATTCTCTTTTCCTCATTAAATTTTGGAGGTCTGCTGTGGAATTCTTCTGCACTTTCACAAATCTTACACTCTTCCACGGACAGACATCCAATACCTAATAATTGTTCTAATTGTGGAGTATAGGCAATAGCTTGAGTATGGGAGGCTGACAGTGTACATGAGAAGAGCCTAGCAGTGAAATTATGACTGTGATGATACTGTAGGGCTAATTTCCCAGCAAAACTCTAAATGGTATATCAACGACCCAGTAGAGAAAACTGTATGAGTTTTATAGAAATTGCATTTAGTAGGCATAAGAAATGTGAACCAAAGCATAACGGTATTGACAGTTTCAAGGAACATATCAGATGTTGCTGGATAACTCCTCTGAAATTTTGGAAAGGCAATATGCACATGACCCTGAAATCTTCAAACTAGATACCCAGAAAATAAGCTACAGAAAGCAAAAGTGTTCTTTGGTCTCCGAAAACAACATCTAGTAGATATGGGAAAACTTTGTAAAAAAAGGAAAATTAAGAACAAGGCAAAACTGCTGGCAGCAGCATAACCAGGCAAACTATAAGGAAGACTGATATGTAAAATAAGGGTCCTGAGAAGGAAAACACCATGCAAATTAACTGAAACCAAATGCCTCTGATACAAACTGAGAAGCAGCAGTGAAGGTCATTAGGATGAAGAGGAAAATGCCTTTAATAATGAAAAACGATGAACATTTTCAGGAACACAGAATTCATTAACCTAACATGCTCAGCATTTGAAAATGTAAGAAATAAGTACTTAGGTCTACTAGTTGTTTTTTTTTTTTTTTCAAAACACACTTGTACTGTGCCCTGTGTTACCTATAGAATAAAGGATACAAAGAAAATAACCAAGTTGTGTTTTTAGTCTATTCACATGGGGTAATAAGGACTGCTCTGCAAATATAGCCTGCATGAACACTTTCCACTACGACAGCATTGACGACATCATGGATTTGAGGCATGTATCCATCAGGAAGTTTCACAGAATCCAAGGTGAAGAAGGTTGTATGATCTATCACCCCATTTCTTCCATGTACACTAGTAATGCGCACCTGTGGAGGTAAATGATGGAAATGACTATGTAAAGGTATCATACATGAAACTTGCTTGCACCTCCCTCTGGCTCTCAGCTGTACGTCACTCCATGCCTACCAAGGATTCTCAACTTACTTAGTAAATGGTGATCACCTGTTTGCTTTGTGAACACATGTATGCCTAGACTCCACCTCACCCCAAATAAATCTGAATCTCTGGGAAGGGTGCCTATGTCTCTGCTGACAACCCCTGTGATAAGCATTGCTCAGAGTCCATAAATTCTAAAAGTTAATGTTCAGAGAGTCAAGGAGACTATAATTTTCCCTACTTTCTCTGTCACATTCTGAGATCATTATTTCACCTGCACCATTGTTCAAACTGAGCTTTCTTGTATTCTCAGCTTCCACTACTCATCAAATCACACCTAAGCCTTACTGGTGAACACAAATACCACCACCCACTCCATCCATTTTTTTCCAAATAGTCTCTAAAGTGTGACTTGTTTTCTGCATTTGTTCTCAGAACACTGCATTACTTCTTTTTTTAACTTTTATTTAGTAAATATAAATTTCCAAAGTACAGCTTATGAATTACAATGGCTTCCTCCCCATAAATTCCCTCCCACCCACAACCCTCCCAGCTCCTGCTCCCTCTCCCATTCCATTCACATTAAGATTCATTTTCAATTATCTTTATATACAGAAGATCAATTTAGTGTATATTAACTAAAGGGCATACTTTAAATAAAACATTTTTGATAAGGACATAGGCTGGTCTTTGGAACAAAGATATTTTGTTTTAGGTTTCCCAATCCACCCAACAGAATCCTGAGCAGCAGAAATGATTAGTCCAAAAAATAAAAGGATAAACAGAAACAAACGACAAAGGCAGTATTGAAATCACTTACCTCACGCACGTGCCTCTGTCCTCGAGGCTTCACTGAGAGGACCTTTCTGCTCTGTGTGTCTGGCAGGCTAGAAAACACAACTTGCACGCAGTCCCGTGGATAAGGATCAAAATCTAAATCAGCGAAGGAGAGAAATGAAGTGGACATTGCTATTAGATTTGTTGATGTTGCATTTCACAAATGCTCTCAGGTTGTAATACCCAAAAGTAGTTCCTATTGCATTTGAGGCATATTCTTGATATTTTAAAGCAGTTAGTTATCCTATAAATTGTCCTGTCCAAAACGAAGTTTATCATGCTTTAGACAATGATTCTCCTGTACTGATGTAGCAAGGTCTGATGGGGGAAACCTGTCAACAACTGAACATTACACACAGGCAATCGTTTTGGGAGTAGCCCAGGATGTATTAAACAATCACAACTCTTCCACGAGAGGCAACCAAGTACAAAGGTAAAAGCAAAAGCCTAAAGCAGGATACCTGGGTTCAGCACTTACTCACTTTGCAACCATATGAAGGTGCTCATTCTCTGTGCTATGGTCAGCCTCTGAAAACTGAGAAGCCTAGCAGCACTTACCACAGAGTTTCAGGGGCAATTAGTCAATCACTATAAAACTCATACAATACTGTCAGGCACAAATCCACAGAAAGAAATGTTGATTGCTATCGGCAGTAGCATTAGCAGGAGGACACAGTGCAGTACAAAATTTGATATTAACTTCTCAGGTGTTTTGGACAAGGGATGGATTCTATATTTTTATACTGTATAGTTATAAATGAATATTTACAGGTGGTTTACAATAAGGCAAGAGTGAGTCTCAAGATACCAGGTACTAGGGAATATTTAGAGACAACATAATTTTCAAACATTGCTACTGGAAGAGTGAATTGACACAACCATGTCAGGTAGCTAGCGATATCTACTAAATCTCAATACTTCTGTACACTATGACCCAGTATTTCTTAGTACTTTCATAGTCCTTTCCTTGTCCTTCCTTAGTTCCATGACAGTTAATTTTAGAAGAATCCACATCATGCACTGAATCCCTGGCCTGTTGCACTCTCTTTTATTTTTCCTATATTTATTCCTTTTGTGGGGCTTTATATGATAAGCTGAAAACTCCAAAATGTATGCACTTGCAGCTCCAGTTAACCTCAGATTCATGGATCCAAATCCTTAATCAAATTATTAAATCCAAAGCTGAACTTCTGCTATTCTTCTCATGTACCCCTGTTTGCTCCTCAGTCTTTCCAAATCTGAAAAACTGGAAATTCTTCCCTTACCACTGCTCAGATAACTTTAATCCTCAACTCTTATTTATGTCATTCCAAATATTCAATGCATCAGCAAAGACATCCATCTAACTTACCTTTAAAGTACGTCCAGAACCAAACCTATCTGTGGGGAGCAATCCGGACTAGACTAAGTTACTGGAATTAAGACTTATTCTATGCATCTGCTCTCCCACAATATGGCGCTGGGAGAGAAGTAAACAGCTTCCGCACAGCTGCCTCCAGTTCAACCAATTAACTGTAGGACTTGCTCCTGATTGGAGAGCAGCGTACTCGGCGTGTGGGCAGCCGAGTTGGGATTGGCAGAGAAGGACTATAAAGGAGGAGAGAAACGGCATGCACCGGGTAACATCTATGGGGAACATCTAGCTGAAGGAACACCCGTGCAGCCCCCGAGAAAGCCGGCCGGCGGTGTGCCGCTCCCCTGCGGAAGTGGGGAATGCGGCCAGGGGGAACTGCCCTTCCACGGAGGTGGAAGGGATAGTAGCCAACCCGGGAAGAACCAGCAGCAAACCCGGGGAGGGCCGAGCAGACGAAAGAACAGCGCAGGGTCTAGTGTCGTTCCCCCACGAAGACGGGGAGCGACACCTATCCTTAACAGCCAGCCTCCACTTCTACATCACCTTACCCAAATGCCAATAATCACTCACCAGGTCTGTTGTGTTAGACTCTTATCTTTCTGTATCCATAGAGCCTATTCACAAAGCCACAGCTAACTTTAACATCTTAAAAAAATTCACCTTGGCCGGCGCCGCAGCTCACTAGGCTAATCCTCCGCCTTGCGGCGCCGGCACACCGGGTTCTAGTCCCCGTCGGGGCGCTGGATTCTGTCCCGGTTGCCCCTCTTACAGGCCAGCTCTCTGCTGTGGCCAGGGAGTGCAGTGGAGGATGGGCCAAGTGCTTGGGCCCTGCACCCCATGGGAGACCAGGATAAGTACCTGGTTCTTGCCACCAGATCAGCGCGGTGCGCCGGTCGCAGCGGCCATTGGAGGGTGAACCAACGGCAAAGGAAGATCTTTCTCTCTGTCTCTCTCTCACTGTCCACTCTGCCTGTCAAAAAAAAATTCACCTCATATCTTGGTGTTAAATTAACGTTGACCTAACCAATCTCTGTATTTGTGTGATAAAGCATGTCCCAAATTCCCCTCTATACACAGTAAATTGCAAACCCCTCAAATGTGCAAGGAAGTTGTAACTTACCAAAGAGTATACTCTAGTAGGCAAGCAACTGAAACTCAGACAATGGCATGATGAAGGCTGCCAATATACACCCACATAAAGCAAAACCACAACTGTTTTTAATCAGGTAATCTCTCTACATCCCGTCTGTTATTTCCTGGTTATAAATACAGCTCATCCCACAGCAGGTAAGGGCATTTTGGACCATCTTTCAATGGCAATGCTGCCATACTTGGACGCTGTCCCTGTCTGAATAACCTTTAATAAGTTTAGTCTCTCAGGTTTTTTTTCCAACAAAATTTTCTTTAAGATGCCCCCAAATTTAAAGCATTACAGTGACTTTTAAACCTTTTCAGTAAGGTCTTCCCTGGACAATATATCTGTAATTTTAACTCATTTGATATTAGATTTATATTTTTTCTTAAACTATGAATCAGAATTCTCATCCCTGGTGCTAATCATATTATCCATGGCAATCAAAGCTACCGATCTACAAAGAGACTTGCACAAAATTTCCTTTGCAATTTAATCTGTACTAGACAAAAGCTTCTAGCAGCTAACACGACCTTCAACAGGAGCATGGCAAAAACCATGATGTATTTGATATACTGGCATACTATACATACAACTACATAGATGTGTTCAAACACATTCTTTTTAGTGTAAAAAGTCTTACACAAAATATTATGTATGCTTGATTACATTATACAATATTCTCAAACAGTCAAATTAAATGTGTAGTGTGAACAAAACAGGACAGTATTTGGGAACAGGGACAGGTATTTACTGGGTGAAGGCATGAAAGTCATGATTAGGTGCAGCTGTGAATATCCAAAGAAATCTGTAACATTTCTAAACAAATATTTTATCTGAGTTGCTGGTACACATGCTGGAGTATTCAGGAGGCACTGAATAAACATTTCTCTATACTTTCAAATATATGGAAAAAACAAAAGAGTAGTAGGTCGATAGAATAATGTATCCATGGATGGCTATGTAATAGAACAAGTATAAGGAAATGTGAAAGGCAGAATTCAGGTGGTGGCTATGTGTTTGAACACTGTAAAATTATTTCAAATTTGCCCTATATTTGAAAAACTAGTTGAACATTATGGTTAGTAGGTGCATTAAGCCCGTGATTTTAAAATAAACAGAAAGAATGTTATTGCAACAATTAAAGAAAAAAAGAGGGAAAATAATGGGGGAGGTGAGGGATGGAAGTATGGCTGTCTTCCTAGAGTTGTATCTATGAAATACATGAAATCAAAAACACCCTCATCAAATAAGTATATTCCAAATTTGACTCTGGAATTGAAACGTTTAACACATTTAATTAACAAGATTTTTAAAAAACCTAATCTCATCTAATTTTCAACTTTAAAAAATATGAACTGTACCTGTAGAAACAATATCCAAAGAGAAGTAACATGTATGATTACTGCAGTTAGCACCACCCATTCTAGAGCTAAGACAGCGCAATGAAACGCTCCTGTAGTACTCTCCTGGCCCATCATCGTGGGAGCTACGGCTGTGATCACCCGCCTGGAAAGCAAAGAAACAGTTACTTCACACACAGCCAAAGTTTAAAAGAAGCATATGCTGAAGTCATTGTTCAAGAAATACTTGAGGTAAGCATAACATACTTTGGTGTGTATATTTCAACTGACAAACACTTCACAGATATGAGTTCATAAAATAATGTCTGATTCATCATCTTTTTATTTCATTTATTATAGCAGTTCAGCAAGACTGTGCAGGGAGAAAAGAGTTCCCATAGACTTTCTTGCACCTCTAGTTTCCCCTATTATTAGCATCTTGCATTGGCACGGTACACTAATTACAACTGATGGTCCAATGACAGTTCATGATAAGGTCCATAGTTTATATTAGGTTCACTCTTTGTTTTGTACAACACCTTTAAAATATGATGAAGAATGTTATTTGCTTAACTCAGCACTTTGTCATCCATGAGGGCTTTGAACTTACAATATTTGTTCTTTCCAATTTTTCCCATTCTAATGCATGATCATCGAAGCATAATCACTTAAAAATAGAAACAAATCTCTCTTGATCTTATTTCCCTTTCAGAATCAGTTCTTTCCTCCTCCTCACACCAAAAGATATTGAGCAAGTTGTCCATAAAACTAGGCAAAGCCTGGAAATCACCTTTATGTTCTCCACTAAGTGTATGCTGCTGCCTGAGCAAGCATAGTTCTACTTCCATGGTGGATAGATAGATGTGAAAGTCAGAGTATACTTGGAGACACTTACAGGAAGAGAATACAAAGGAAACAGGAACTCTGCCAAGTTGCCGGCCTGCAAAAGGGAAGGGGGAGCCAACATAAAAGACAGAGGGAGCCAAAATAAAATGCAGTCTTTAGAGGTGGGACTTATATTTTGTGAGTGAAGATTTAGCCATACTTAAATGCTGTTTTATCTTGTTGCTTAACAGAGGAAGAGTTTAAAATGACAACAAGAGAAGAGGCACTCAATAGCACAGAGGAGGGTGTGGACAAATAAAAGGAGAGGACATCGAAAACACTGGTACAGAGAATTGACCATAAGAGAAGGGACACTCTTTCCATTCTAACAGGACAGAAGGAGGCTGGGATAAGTAAAGATGCAGGAACACTTATAGATTTTGTCTTTGTAACAAACATCAAAATCAGAGACTTCACAAAATCTGAGCTCTGGGTAAAATGAACATAATTGCAAGGAAAAGTTTAATAAGTCACCCAACCCTATCCCTCAAGCAGTGGCTTGAGAGATGACTACTTTATGATCTTCATGGAATATTTAATTCTGACGAGGAATTTTGTAAAAAGTGAAGGAAAGCTCTTATTTTTATTTTTTAATTTATCTGCATACATTTCATAAATGTAACTTTAGGAACATAGTAATTATTCTGACCTTATCAGCCCTCACACCCACACTTCCCACCCTTCCTCCCCCTCCTTCTCCTATTCTCAGTCCTGTTTTTCACTAAGATCTATTTTCATCTAAGCTTATACATAGAAGATTAATTCTATTCTAGGTAAAGAGTTCAGCTCTTTGCATGAGGAAGACAAAAAAAAAGAAAGAAGAAAGAGAGAGAGAGAGAGGGAGAGAGAGAGAGAAACTAAAAAGAGAAAAACATAAAAAAAAGAACAAAAGCTGTTCCTCAACAGTCCAGACAAGGGCTGTTCAAAGTCACTGCATCTTAATGGTAACTTTACTTTTTTTTATTTTTTAGAAAATTATCTTTAAAGAGGGACCCAAGAATGATACATCTTTTGCAAGCACTTAGACATAACTGTAATTTATATGACAAAAGAATATTCTCTACTTAATACACTAAAATGAAGTAATTCTTTGATTACAAATTTTACTATTAAGTCCCATAATACAACTCTTTGAGGACAGAGGTCCTGCATGGCAAGTTAGTGCACAGTGACTCGTGTTGTTTATTTAACAATTAACAGTCTTATGCATGATGTCAGTAATCACCCGAGGCTCTCATTTTTCTATGAATCCAGTGTAACAGAGATCCCAAAAGCCAATAAAAATAGCATAAGGATAGATAACTAAAAATCAACTTAAGTTATGGAAATGAGGAAATCTAACTAAAAATAAGCAAGCAAATTTAGCAGGACATTACAAGAATTATTAATTATAACCAAATGTGAATAATTCCACAAAACCAATGGGCCTAATTCTAAAAAAATGAGATGTACTTTCTCCATATTAATATCAGTAAATATCAATTAAAAATCCCAACCTGGGTTGAATATTCATTTTCACTATATTTTCTAGATATTATGATTATCCTTTAAGATACTGAATTACACAATCTCTTATTAACATCAGAGAAATTGTATTTATTGATTTTGTGGTAATCTATAGAAGAGGAATGGAGGTACGTGTACTTGTTTAATCCATGCAATACTGATTAAACAAAGAACAAAGAACTGCCATTTAGGAAAATTCCACATCTTTCATTATGAAAAGGAAGTAAATACGAACCAATATTGCCAAATTAAAAGTAGTATAGGGGCCGGCGCTGTGGCATAGCAGGTAAAGTCGCCACCTGCACTGCCAGCATCCCATGTGGGCGTTGGTTTGAGTCCCGGCTGCTGCACTTCTGATCCAGCTCTCTGCTATGGCCTGGGAAAGCAATGGAAGACATCCCATATCCTTGGGCCCCTGTAGTAGCGTGGGAAACCCAGGGAAGTCTCCTGGCTCCTGGCTTCAGATCAGCACAGTTCTGGCCTTTGTTGCCAATTGGGGAGTGAACCAGCAGATGGAAGACCTCTCTCTCTCTCTCTTCTTTTCCTTCTCTATGTAACTCTGACTTTCAAATAAATAAATAAATCTTTTAAAAATTTATTTATTTATTTTTATTTTTTTGACAGGCAGAGTGGACAGTGAGAGAGAGAGACAGAGAGAAAGGTCTTCCTTTTCTGTTGATTCACCCCACCAATGGCTGCTGGGGCCAGTGCACTGCAGCCGGCACACCACGCTGATCCGAAGCCAGGAGCCAGGTGCTTCTCCTGGTCTCCCATGAGGGTGCAGGGCCCAAGGACGTGGGCCATCCTCCACTGCACTCCGGGCCTGGAATGGAGAGCTGGACTGGAAGAGGAGCAACCGGGACTAGAACCCAGTGTGCCAATGCTGCAGGCGGAGGATTAGCTTATTGAGCCACGGCGCTGGCCCAAATAAATCTTTTTAAAAATAGTATAAGAACGTTATAAGTTATTATGCA